TCATCAACTCTCCCTTTCGCGGGTCACGTGTCTGAGGCTGAACGGGAGACATCGCTGCCAAGCTCACGGCCACCTCCACTCCCTCTGTCATCTTCTAGCGCTTTTACGTGACAATTGTGAGGTTTGTGTCTAGACTCTTTTTTGTGCACATCGATGTCCAGCTGTCTCAGTGCTGGTTGTTGAGAAGACTGTCCTTGCTCCACCGAGTCGCCTTTGCGCCTTTGTCCGAGCCGAGTCGGCTGTGTCTGTGGGGCGTTTCTGGGCTCTCTGCGCTGCCCACTGACCTGCGTGTCCGGTTCTTCACCGGCACCACGGCGTCTCGATCACTGTGGCTTCTCTCCTGCAAAACCGCGTGGGCCAGTCCGTGTCGTTTTGTTCTGTTTTCCTCTCAATATGATTTTAGAATCAGTTTGTTGGTTCCCACGAAATACCTTACTAGGACTTTGATTGGATCGTATTAAATCTACAGATCAAGTCGGGAAGCACTGACATTCGAACAACATGGAGTCTTCCTATTTGTGAACATGGAACATCTTTCCATTTATTTTGATCTTCGATTTCTTCCATTAGAATTTTGTAGTTTCTCTCACATAGATCTTGGTTAGATCTATGCCTGAGTATTTCCTTTCTTTTGGTGCTAATGTAAATGGTATTGCGTTTTTAATTCGAAATTCCAGTTGTTCATTGCTGGCATATAGTTCGTGACAGGCCGTGTATATAACGGGGTCCCACACGGTTACAATGAGCTGAAAAATGCCTATGCCAGTGATGTTGTTGCCCACGACTTCACAGGATTTGCCAAGGAGGAGGAGGCTGCAGAAACCCCCAAGGCTGCGGTCGAGAAGGCAAACGCGCTTCACCGGGGTGTGGGCAAGGAGGACGGAGGGTGCTCCCGAAGGACCGCAGGAGCCGCCGGAGCTGGAGGATGCGCAGCTGAAGGAGAAGCAAGAGAAACGGGAACTGCAGAAGAACCCCAAGAAAACTCACGGCACAGGGCTTAGCAGCAGCTTTCGCAGTCCACAAGCTCCCTAAAACGTCTGAAATCACGAGCTTGAACCCTGAAAGGTTTTCATTAACAGAGAGATGTTCATGGCGCATTATCTGGTTACGAGCAAATCTATGAAGAAAGAAGACACAAACCAAGCAAACCATGATGGACATACCTCTGAAGAGAGCGACACCCCCTCAAGAAGAGCCTCAGGCAGGTCCTCCCAGGGGTGTTCCAGAAGAAGGCACTGTTGTCACAGGAGATGACGGGTCCACGAGTGTTAATGCCCCTGAGACCTTCCAGCGAATCAAGATGCAGTGGCGGGAGACCGTGATACTAATGATCCTGACCCCGTATAGCTGAGGCTAAGGAGTGTGTTTGTGTCCTAGTTTTTAACCAAAAAGTTTAAAATGCAAAATAAATAAATAAAAATTTTTAAAATAGAAAAAGGCTTATATAATAAGGATATACAGAAGATATCTTCATACGGCTAGACAATGTGCTACTGCAAAAGTTTATGAAGTAACAGAGTTAAAGTAAGCCCAGGTTGCCGCATCTCTTCCAGGACCAGACGCACAGTCCTCGCCGTCATGGTGCCACCGCTGCCGTGTCCGGCAGGGACCGGCTGTGAGGTTCCACCGTGTGCGCCCACTAAGGTCCATGTCGGTTCCGGGTCAGTTTCACTTGATTGATTTTTCTCATGATCAGTAGTGTTTTCTTCCATCTTTGTATGTCTGAGAAGTTTAGATTGGATGCTGCGATTTTTACCCCATTGAGTGTTAAAAATTTTGTATTCTTATAAATATTCTTAAGCTTTGTCCTGGGACACTTAGTAGAACAGTTTAGTCCTTTCAAGTCTTTCTTCGCTTTATTAGGTGGGGTCTGAGCAGTGACCAGTCCGGGCCGATTATTCCTCACACCTTAGGCAAGAACCTCTGTGCACTGCCCCAGTTTCCGGGAGCCACGAGGTTCTCCAGTCTGGCTGGGGGAACGGGCGCCACTTCCTGCCCTGCGTGACTGTGGTCAGCGTTACCGCTGCTGGCTTGCTGCAGCTCTTCCCCTGGCCTCACACGCATGCTCCGAGATCGGCCTCACTCCCGGCACTCGGCTTCGCGGCTGCCAGCTGCCTTGGTCTGCCTGCAGCTTTATTTGGACTGAGGGAGCCCCCCAGGCCCTGCCCGGGTCTCCCCTCTGCACTGTAGCCTGGAATTCTCACAGCAGTAAGATGGGGCACCCGTAAGGCTTGGCCCATGGCTTTCTCATCTCTCAGGAGTCACTGAGCTGTTGCATAATGTCCACTGTCCTAAGAACTGCTGCTTCACACATTTCGTCCATTTCTCGGTTGTGTCAGGCATTAGAGCAAGCCCAGCTTCTGTGGCTCCATCTTGGTCTGTTGCAGAGTTTCTTGGTACAGAGCTTTAGTTCTGAATGATGAAAAAAATCTGGTGGTGATGGTGGTGGTGATGGTTACACAATGATGAGAATGTACTTAATGCCACTGAACTCTACACTTAATGGTTAAAATGTAAATTTTATGTTATCTATATATTACCACACCAAGGAAAAACTTTTAAAAAAGGGTTACATGCACCAAAGGAGTCTTAATGCTGGATTCTGAAGACAACGCAACCCAGAGTGATCCGGCCAGGTGCTCATCAGGTACCTGCAGCACTGCCACGGGCGAGGGCCATGGGGCAGGCAGCCGGGGCAGGGTCCACCTGCTGGCCAGGAACAGTCTGGAGCCTGAGGCTGTGAATCACAACCCCTGCTCCGAGACCAGGCCCACCTTCCACCTCCAGGGGCTCGGCCACACAGGCCACCGCGGCTCAGGTCGCTCAGCGTCACCAGGACAGCCCTGACCCACCCTGAGATGAACAAAGTGGGCACGTGCTTATCCAGCACCTTCTGTGTGGGGCGTACATACACGCACCCTGGGTCCTCCAAGTCTGCGGGGCCCCGGAGCATCCTGTGTTTTCGCAGGTGGCCCACCCGGAACACTGTCCTGGCCACTTCCCGCTCCCCTCTCCCGGGAGTTCACAGCTGCATGCCACTCCTGTCCACATCACTGCTATTCGGATTATTCAAAAAAAGTCTCTTTGCCTTGTGGGACTCAAAGAAATTGTACCAGCCGTCTCTCTTGCCCAAACTCCAGCATCCCCGATGTCAAAATTGATGACAGACCTCACCGGGAACAGGGGTTGGGCGGGCCTGCAGGCGGCGCTCTCCGCCTCTGTGCGCGGCGACAGGAACTCGACCACCGGACCGGCCCCGCCCCCACCAGACCTGCAGGTGTCTCGCTGTGGCTGCGCGCAGCGAATCGCCACCCCCCGCCCCCCAATCCTTGTGTTTGCAATCAACATCCAGGAACCAACACGTTATGACAGTGGCTCTCTTTTCTTCAGGTTGCACTGCGCTGGGACTTGGCGTCGTTGGCCAAGTCCTCGGCTGCGCATCACAGACACGGCGGCTCCCGCGCGCACACGAGTCGGTCCACAGCTCGCGTCGCTGTGGAGGGCGTGGCCGGGGCCTGCGCGATCGCGGGTTTCTCTGCGGGCGCGGAAAAGGGGGCGCTCTGCCGGGTGCAGGTGTGAGGTGTGGGTGCTCCAGAGCCCAGGGAGGGCTCGCGAGGTCTGGACCGCCTTCTCGAGGCTGGGCTGGAGATCCGGTCCTGCAGATCCTAGCTCGAATGTCCCTTCCGTGCCACCCTAGCCACAGGAGCCGCTGCCGCCAGTTACTGTCCCGCACCCCGTTTTTTCATTTCTTCCTGACATGTCGGCCCCTTCCGTGGAATGTCACTTGACCAGGAGCGGGTCCTGCCTGTCGCGCTCACAGGTGGCATCCTGGCTCGCGGTGGGGGGGAGGTGGCGGCGCGGAGGTGATAATCCTCACCGGCAGCTGTCATTTGACCTCCGCGTCCCCGCAGAGTGCAAGGCCCGCCCTGCGTCCCCCGCCTCCCTCGGACGCGCCTGGCGCTCGGCCGGCCGGCAGCGACCTTGTGGGCAGAGACTAAGGAGCCCGCGGGCGGCGCCACGGGGTGGGCCCACCTGCAGCGCCGTCGCCCCT